ATGGTCCCGTTGTGCAGTCACCTGAACACCTGAACCCTCTGACGCATGTCCGACTCCTGACTGGCTCTCACTAAGGACACACAGTTAATCTTTGATTTAGATTGACCCCCCTTGGCTTCGACACTTCCAGCGACTTTGCTCCTCAACAGCAGCACTTACTTTAACACCCAAAGATTTCACAGTGTGCCAATGAAAACTCACACATTCACATTCATAATGCACACACACCTTTTTGCTGTCATTTATATTCAGTCCACTCCCTCTGACGTCTCATTGATTGATTAGACAGTTTTGTAATTGGTGTTTCATTGTGCAAACAAATTTAAGATGCTACAGTCTATACATAGCTCTTCATCTATTGTTTGTACTTTAATCTCTTCTTTTCTCTCCATCCATCAGCCTCTTTGTCTTTATTCCAAATAGACTTTCTTCTTTCCTGTTTGCTCAGTCGTTAAAGGAGCGGAGCTGGTTTCAATAGCAGCTGAAAGTCAGCGCACTGTCGACCACACACTGTGACTTTCATCTGTCTGTTTCTTTCACCCCATCTGCTCTTGCCTTCCCTCACTCCCTTGCTTCTTCACTGGAGGGGAGTTTTTAGACAGAAACTCTTGTCTGGTTGTTTTCGTCTGTCTGTCCTCTCTCTATCTGCTCTCTTGACTGCTCAGGAAGGTGTGTGTTGTTTGCTCAAGTTAAGCTGTGCTCGGTGCTTGGAACATGTTTGCCGTTGTTATGTACAAAAAACACACACACGCAATGAGAGTTACACACATTTTTCTCTTAGTCTCTTTTGCTGATATGACACAAATTACTGTCGTCACAATTCTTAAATGTCCTTTCACAGCAAAAACATAAGGAAGTGCTCAAACCAACGTTTGAATGTTTCTGACCATTTTTTCTCATTTCTGCAACTCTAAGCAGAAAACCTCATAACTAATTAAAACTACATTTCCCACCAGGCCTCTCTCCTCCCACTCACATCACTAGTTGCATCTTATTTATTGACAGAGTCCAGATTTGTGGGTTTGTGCATCAGGTGCTTTACTTACTCATTGTTAGTGTGTGTGTGTGTGTGTGTGTGTGTGTGT